GGATCAGCTCTAGGCATGACGAAGCGGATATCGTCCTCTTTTGGAAGGCCAAACAAAGTAGTTTCACTTTCACAACGAAACACACAGCTCTTCACGACATGGCGGCGGCGGCAACAACAATACTACAGCGAGAATAAAAGTTACGCCTTCTTTCTTTGCGTGAACATTGGGGCGGCGTTATGCAAATCTTCCCACATCGTGACGTAGACATGTGGGGGCGTGTTAGAACGAGCCGTTTTAGGTAGGCGTGGTTGACTCTTAACTTTTATAAAGAATATCTCTTTGGATTGAGGCTTTAGTCTTTGCAACTTTACAGATCTTCTTTATGCACCAAGAGCTTGTATCACTTCAAAGAGAAAGGAAAAATTTAAATCGCATCATATGACCCCTTTCAATTATCAGGTCAAAGAACAATGGGAAACATTACATTAGAATTTAAAAAAAGGGAAAATTAACCATTAGATAGGAATTAATCTAATAGATGAAGGGAGGAAAAAAGAAAGGGTACACAAGCGATGATGAATACATTAAGAAAGTATGTCAAACATGTTACATATTCTAGATGCTTTGATCTCTTTACATTTTGATATAGGTTATTTATATTTATGAATGTAAACATCCCAAAAAGCTTAAAGTTTCATATATTCTTGCGTTACCTGTGTGATGTACAGTACGTGTAACTGCGATGTCCTTGATTCATATACATACTGTAATAGGCAGAGAAGAAACATTCTATATTTACTCCAGCGCTTACTTCCTTTCCCAATCACTGAGTTATTTCTGATACAAAGATTTATTGTAGATTATACAGTCTGACCCTAATAGATCAGAAAGAAACTAGTTTTATTTTGTGTTCGCTGAGTTGTGTGAACTGTGGTTTTGATTTGCAGGAAGTGTTTGTCCTTCGTCTGAATGTTTTACCTGCTTTCTTTCATTATTTAATTGATTTTTTTTTCTTGTGCAGATTTGCACAGATTGAAAGTCAAAACAGAAGAAATGGATCGTTTTATGTGGTAGTATCATCTGGCCATATAAACAGCAAAATTTGAACTTGATCTATAGAAACTGGTAAATTCTTACCAAACATATTATTATATTAATAACATTTATAATAGGGATGTACAATATGTCGGTATATAGTGTTTACTGCTGATATTAGAGGCCGATATTGAATATTTAATTGTCGTGCTAATTTCCTCTTTTTATGTTTAGATTACCTATCCCATCATCTAACTTTTAATTAATCTTTAAAAACACTCATAATTTAATAAGTGTTCAATGCAATCTTTAGCAAATATTAAAATGAAAATCTGTTTATCATACTGTACATTATATAGTGTTGCCTAAATTCAAGTAGCCTTTAAAATGGTTGATTTTAGTACTTAGAGTTTTCTTTAAAATTTATTTAGACAAAATAGTATAGAATTTGGAAACACTTTAGTTTAGCGACCAATTATCAACATTATTAACTAGTCACTTATTAGCATGCGTATTACTAGCATATTGGTTGTTTATTAGTACTTATAAAGCAGGTATTAATGCCTTATTCTGCATGAGCAATGTACTAAAGTTTTTGTCTAGTAGCCTAATTTATGTGTCTTGTGTAATCATCAGAAAGTATATTTTGAACCACATTATATCACGCACATCTAAAGATTTGTCTTTGTGAGAGTTTTGAAAGCTGCATTCATATCTGCTCTGGAAGATTATGCTCTAACAGCACTACATGAATTGGTTTTGATTATTCAAAACCCATAGGCAGTCTGAAGCACATGGGGCCACATCGCTGTTCTATTGCTGTTCTGTTGAATCTCAATTATATTAGAGAGCAAGTGAGGTTTTTTTCCTGTTTAAACATTAAAAGATACATTGATGTAACAAGTAATGAATTAAAAAAGACTCCCCTTTAGGGTTGTGACGGTGAGGACATTTTCCCACCGGTTAATCGACGTGTGACAACACCGGTAATACCGGTATCACCACGGGGGCGGGGGCGTTCCCTCTTTTCCTGGCTTTCCTTCGCTTTTAAATAGGTTGTAAAAGCGGCGTGTGCGTTTTACTTTCACTTTCAAATAGCGGTAATTCGGAATAAAGCAATTGTTCGTTTTTAGTTTGTTTGAATTTTCCCTCTTTTCCTCGCTTTCCTTCGCTTTTAAATAGCTTAAAGGGGTCATATGATGCTGCTAAAAAAACATTTTGTGTATTTGGTGTAATGAAATGTGTTTATGCGGTTTAAGGTTAAAAAAACACATTATTTTCCACATACTGTACATTATTGTTTCTCCTCTATGCCCCACCTTTCTGAAACGCGTCGATTTTTACAAAGTTCATCGGTCTGAAAAAGCGAGGTGTGCTCTAATTGGCCAGCTATCCAATGCGTTGTGATTGGTCGAATACCGTTACTATAAAAAAATCTAAACGACGGTGGGGGGCGGTGCCGCGGTAGGCAAATGACGTAACCTGTGTTGCGGCTTAACACCGGTATCACCGTCAGCACCGTCTATCGCGGCAAGCCTACTCCCCTTAACAAAGTCTGATCACAAGTGGTCACTTCTGAGACAACATGTAAATACTAGGCCTGGCGATAAAACGGTATCGATATTTATCGACAGTACACCTTCTTCAATATCGATAGAAATTTTTTTCAATATAGCGCACGATATAGGCACGTGCTATGAGTGATGCAGACAGCACATACAAACACGAACACATGCTGAAATGAGTGCTGTGCCTGCCTGTGATGAGGAGATTGTGAATAAAGAATGAATATTAGTGTGGAGGTTTATTCCTTTTCACTGCGTCTCATAAGTTTTTTAATGCAATCTGTGTGAATGGCGCTTCAGCTCTTTGGGTTAAGCAATGCATAAATACATGATGCTGTTTTGTTCACAATTGTTTATGCAATTTACGAAATTATATTTTATTTTTAGACGTAATTTAATATTTAATTTAGACGTAATGCACGTTTTTATAGAGTTACTTGCTAAATGCGCTGCATTATTTTGCTCATTGCGCCCTCCTGTGGCCTCGGGAGAAAAAATACCTATTTAATCTGCATATAAAATATTAGAAATAGATATTTGTTTAATTTTTATTGTGTTTGATTGTTAAAACAAAAAAATATTTGTTGTTTGTCTTAATAAATTGTGTTAATTATAAATACAGTGGTTAAATAAAAAAAAAAAATTCTATTGCTTTTTGTTTTAATAAAGGTTATAAAAAATGTAAATAATTATTGATACCGAACGATATGAAACATTATATCGTTGATAAATTTTTTTAGCTATATCGCCCAGCCCTAG